ACGGTAATTTTGAACGTGACAGACCCCCTTTTTTCTTCCCTATTTTTCACCCTGTATTTTTTAAAAATGGTCAGACTTTTTCCTTTTTTCCATCCAATTTGCCTTTCTAATTTTTGCCTGCAAAAAGGATTATTTTTTATATTTTATTTCCCGTTTTTCCTCCCCCATTTTTTCCTTATTTTTTTCTACAATTTTTGGTTGTACACCGCCAACATCATATCTTTCATCTTTATTAACGCTGAGTGTCGTTCGACCTCCACATTTATGGCAGGTTCCTTTTCCATGGAGAAGTCCAAGCTCACCGAGCCATGCATCGAAATCATTATCGCTCAAACGTAATTTTTCATGTAAATCAAAAGGCTTGAAATTCCTAAGTTGTTCCATTTTTTAATTGAGAAAATGAATTTTCGCAAAACTCATACTTGTTAAATACCAAAAAATAATCCTCCTTTTTATAATCCTTATTGTTTGATTGCAGGCAAAAATTAGAAAGGCAAATTGGATGGAAGAAAGGAAAAAGTCTGACCATTTTTAAAAAATATAGGGTGAAAAATAGGGAGGAAAAAAGGGGGTCTGTCACGTTCAAAATTACCTATTTGACTAATCAAACTGACATTAGACTATGGGTCTGCCTGTTCGATTTTTTTTTTGACTACTCAATTAAGAGTTTAGCTGTGCGACCGCGCCACTGTTATGTATTGCGGTGTGTCCGATACTAACAGAAAGACTAACGACTAACTAACAAGGTTTATCACAATGGTAACAATACAATAGAAATGACGAGACTATGCGCTGGAGTAGAATGTAGCTTTGACTACGGACTAAGACTGACTGACTCGGTAGCTCTCTGACTACTAAAAGGCTTCGCCTTTTATACTAAACACGCCACCCTAACAGTAATAATCATTATTATTGCTAAATAGTTATTTTTCGTTTTTTAATTTTAAAATTTATTAGGAAAAATTTTTGCTCTAAATTTTTTTTAATATTTTTAATTTTTTTTTTAAATATTTTTGGAAAAAAATTTTTTCGAATAAAATTTAAAATTAAAAAATGGTAATAATCATTATTATTGCTAAATAGTTATTTTTCGTTTTTTAATTTTAAAATTTATCTGAAATTTATCTTTTAATTTTAAAATTTATCTGAATTTTTTTGTAGTAAAATTTTTTCGAAGAAATTCTAAAATTTAAAAACGGAAATTAACATTATTAGTCATAAACTATTATTTTTCGTTTTTTAATTTTAAAATTTATTCGGAAAAATTTTTTTTCAAAATTTTTAAAAATATTTTTATTTTTTAGAAATCACTGACTCGTAAATTTTTTAGGAATTGACTTTGCGACCTATATTTAATGGACAAATCAATTTGGAAGCAAATCAGCTGTCAGTTGATGATATTGCAAGAAATTATATTTATAAAAATATAGACATAAACGGTGTAAGAACTAGAATACTTATTGAATTAAGAAAGAATTACAAATTAACAAGTTTAATATGTTTTTTGAATCATGAAGGGCCTAGAAAAATTTTAAAAAGAGAAAATTATAACAAGGTTAATATATTTAAACCATTTTCTTTAAATGCCAAAAAACCTGAAATGATAATGGATTATTATTTTTCGTTTTTTAATTATTATTTTTCTATTATTTTTCTACTTTTTTTTCTACTATTATACTATTATTTTTCGTTTTTTAATTTTAAAATTTATTCGGAAAAATTTTTTTTCAAAATTTTTAAAAATATTTTTATTTTTTTCTGAATTTTTTTTGTAGTAAAATTTTTTCGAAGAAATTCTAAAATTTAAAGACGGAAATTAACATTATTAGTCATAAACTATTATTTTTCGTTTTTTAATTTTAAAATTTATTCGGAAAATTTTTTTTTCAAAATTTTTAAAAATATTTTTATTTTTTTCTGAATTTTTTTTGTAGTAAAATTTTTTCGAAGAAATTCTAAAATTTAAAAACGGAAATTAACATTATTAGTCATAAACTATTATTTTTCGTTTTTTAATTTTAAAATTTATTCGGAAAAATTTTTTTTCAAAATTTTTAAAAATATTTTTATTTTTTTCTGAATTTTTTTTTGTAGTAAAATTTTTTCGAAGAAATTCTAAAATTTAAAGACGGAAATTAACATTATTAGTCATAAACTATTATTTTTCGTTTTTTAATTTTAAAATTTATTCGGAAAAATTTTTTTTCAAAATTTTTAAAAATATTTTTATTTTTTTCTGAATTTTTTAGTAGTAAAATTTTTTCGAAGAAATTCTAAAATTTAAAGACGGAAATTAACATTATTAGTCATAAACTATTATTTTTCGTTTTTTAATTTTAAAATTTATTCGGAAAAATTTTTTTTCAAAATTTTTAAAAATATTTTTATTTTTTTCTGAATTTTTTAGTAGTAAAATTTTTTCGAAGAAATTCTAAAATTTAAAAACGGAAATTAACATTATTAGTCATAAACTATTATTTTTCGTTTTTTAATTTTAAAATTTATTCGGAAAATTTTTTTTTCAAAATTTTTAAAAATATTTTTATTTTTTTCTGAATTTTTTAGTAGTAAAATTTTTTCGAAGAAATTCTAAAATTTAAAAACGGAAATTAACATTATTAGTCATAAACTATTATTTTTCGTTTTTTAATTTTAAAATTTATTCGGAAAATTTTTTTTTCAAAATTTTTAAAAATATTTTTATTTTTTTCTGAATTTTTTTTGTAGTAAAATTTTTTCGAAGAAATTCTAAAATTTAAAAACGGAAATTAACATTATTAGTCATAAACTATTATTTTTCGTTTTTTAATTTTAAAATTTATTCGGAAAATTTTTTTTTCAAAATTTTTAAAAATATTTTTATTTTTTTCTGAATTTTTTAGTAGTAAAATTTTTTCGAAGAAATTCTAAAATTTAAAAACGGAAATTAACATTATTAGTCATAAACTATTATTTTTCGTTTTTTAATTTTAAAATTTATTCGGAAAATTTTTTTTTCAAATTTTTTAAAAATATTTTTATTTTTTTCTGAATTTTTTAGTAGTAAAATTTTTTCGAATAAAATTTAAAATTAAAAAATGGTAATTGTTATGTATCGACTTGCGGTGTGTCCGATACTAACAGAAAGACTAACGACTAACTAACAAGGTTTATCACAATGGTAACAATAAAATAGAAATGACGAGACTATGATGTAGCTTTGACTACGGACTAAGACTGACTGACTCGGTAGCTCTCTGACTACTAAAAGGCTTCGCCTTTTATACTAAACACGCCACCCTAACACCTCCCTTCTTTAATTAAGTCGGGACTATGTTTCCGACTTCCAACTAGACTTGGTGGACTTACAAAACTACTACCCTCCAACACAAACAAAACATTGAAAATACAACGGGCCAAAATACAAAGTGAGCAACAAAAAGGGGAGATACAATAATTACAAAAAAATTTACAACACAATATTATCACAAATTTATTTATTTCCTACTTACATCTCTCATCTACTTCCATCGTCGTCGTCACAGTGCTCCCCTGCAATGGCTCATCTTTTGGCCTCGTCGCGTTCGGTGTTGCCGTCGTTGCTGTTGCTTCCTTCAAATTGGAACTAGACTCCAATTGACTGCGAGGTTGACCATGTGTCGAACCTTGATTACGGCTTTCAGCAGACTTCACTAACTTTGACCTAATTTGTCATTCTTCGCGACTGACTATGGCTCTCAGCCTTGGGACTTTGACTTTATATCCATCTCCGAATTTACTCAAAATAGTCCCAGGCAACCATACTTTCTTGCCATTTTTGCTTCTGTTCATGACTAAGACTTCGTCGTCTCCTTTGAATCGACTAGAATTTCCCGATGACTTCTCCTTCTTTAAGAATCCTGACTTTGTCGAGCCTTGATTAACACGAATACTCATCGGACTATTCGACTTTCTACTTTTTCGATTCTTTTTCCGACTATGCTTTCTGATACTCTCCGTCAACTTCGGGACTTCTATCGTCAGAATATGTGGTACTGAAGAATCAACTTCTACTTGATTTACTTCTGGACTATCGACTCGCTTAAACCTTTTCTTTGGTTTCCTACAATTTCGACTAATGTGTCCGACTATTCCACAATTATAACACTGACGTGATTCAACTTGGCGTTCTTTCTGCCTCGACTTAATTCTTGAACGTTTCGCCTGTCTGCTCCGACTATGTTCGATCCGACTAACGTTATTTACTTCAACATACTCTTTAGGTCCACTCTTGACCTTTGACTGACTATCGAACATTTTCGCCTCTGACTTATTTGCCAGATAACTTCTAACTTCCTCCATCAACGTCTTCAACGTGCAGACTTCCGACTTCGCGTACTTTTCTACAAATCTCAGACTTATCTGCCTTACATCCAGCGCCTTTTCTGGAATGCCAGCTATAAAGACTAGAATTTTGCATTCTTCGACTGTCAAGTCCATTTGCGCTTTTTCGCATTCTCAATTGACTAGAGTCCCGAAATCTAGAATTTTCTCTACTGATGGGCACTTCATTTTTATGACTTCGAATCTTTTGACTAATTTTGATCTTGGGTCACTGAATTTCTTTTTCAGTACCTCGACTAGACTTTCGAAGCTCATTTCCTCTAACCTTTCCGGCATCATCTTTTGCGACATTTTCGCATACTCGACTCGGCCCAACTTTTCGACTAATAATCGGACTCTGAGTTTTTCTTCTAAGGACTTTCCTTCTACTTCAAAGTAGGACTTGTTCTTAGCGTACCATGACTCAAATGTGACTCCCTTTTCAACATCTGACTGGAACTCCGTGATCAACGACTTCAACTTACAATAGAGTTCCGTCGACTCTTTCTCTTCAGACTTGGTCACGACTGACATTCTCCCTTTCATCATTTCAAGTCATTAGTCTTGAATCTGTTGCGACTGAGCTTGCATCTGCATTTGCGTCTGCAGGTATTTCTCATGTATCTCATCCATCTCGACTGAATTATTTGACGGTAATTTTGAACGTGACAGACCCCCTTTTTTCTTCCCTATTTTTCACCCTATATTTTTTAAAAATGGTCAGACTTTTTCCTTTTTTCCATCCAATTTGCCTTTCTAATTTTTGCCTGCAAAAAGGATTATTTTTTATATTTTATTTCCCGTTTTTCCTCCCCCATTTTTTCCTTATTTTTTTCTACAATTTTTGGTTGTACACCGCCAACATCATATCTTTCATCTTTATTAACGCTGAGTGTCGTTCGACCTCCACATTTATGGCAGGTTCCTTTTCCATGGAGAAGTCCAAGCTCACCGAGCCATGCATCGAAATCATTATCGCTCAAACGTAATTTTTCATGTAAATCAAAAGGCTTGAAATTCCTAAGTTGTTCCATTTTTTAATTGAGAAAATGAATTTTCGCAAAACTCATACTTGTTAAATACCAAAAAATAATCCTCCTTTTTATAATCCTTATTGTTTGATTGCAGGCAAAAATTAGAAAGGCAAATTGGATGGAAGAAAGGAAAAAGTCTGACCATTTTTAAAAAATATAGGGTGAAAAATAGGGAGGAAAAAAGGGGGTCTGTCACGTTCAAAATTACCTATTTGACTAATCAAACTGACATTAGACTATGGGTCTGCCTGTTCGATTTTTTTTTTGACTACTCAATTAAGAGTTTAGCTGTGCGACCGCGCCACTGTTATGTATTGCGGTGTGTCCGATACTAACAGAAAGACTAACGACTAACTAACAAGGTTTATCACAATGGTAACAATACAATAGAAATGACGAGACTATGCGCTGGAGTAGAATGTAGCTTTGACTACGGACTAAGACTGACTGACTCGGTAGCTCTCTGACTACTAAAAGGCTTCGCCTTTTATACTAAACACGCCACCCTAACAGTAATAATCATTATTATTGCTAAATAGTTATTTTTCGTTTTTTAATTTTAAAATTTATTAGGAAAAATTTTTGCTCTAAATTTTTTTTAATATTTTTAATTTTTTTTTTAAATATTTTTGGAAAAAAATTTTTTCGAATAAAATTTAAAATTAAAAAATGGTAATAATCATTATTATTGCTAAATAGTTATTTTTCGTTTTTTAATTTTAAAATTTATCTGAAATTTATCTTTTAATTTTAAAATTTATCTGAATTTTTTTGTAGTAAAATTTTTTCGAAGAAATTCTAAAATTTAAAAACGGAAATTAACATTATTAGTCATAAACTATTATTTTTCGTTTTTTAATTTTAAAATTTATTCGGAAAAATTTTTTTTCAAAATTTTTAAAAATATTTTTATTTTTTAGAAATCACTGACTCGTAAATTTTTTAGGAATTGACTTTGCGACCTATATTTAATGGACAAATCAATTTGGAAGCAAATCAGCTGTCAGTTGATGATATTGCAAGAAATTATATTTATAAAAATATAGACATAAACGGTGTAAGAACTAGAATACTTATTGAATTAAGAAAGAATTACAAATTAACAAGTTTAATATGTTTTTTGAATCATGAAGGGCCTAGAAAAATTTTAAAAAGAGAAAATTATAACAAAGTTAATATATTTAAACCATTTTCTTTAAATGCCAAAAAACCTGAAATGATAATGGATTATTATTTTTCGTTTTTTAATTATTATTTTTCTATTATTTTTCTACTTTTTTTTCTACTATTATACTATTATTTTTCGTTTTTTAATTTTAAAATTTATTCGGAAAAATTTTTTTTCAAAATTTTTAAAAATATTTTTATTTTTTTCTGAATTTTTTTTGTAGTAAAATTTTTTCGAAGAAATTCTAAAATTTAAAGACGGAAATTAACATTATTAGTCATAAACTATTATTTTTCGTTTTTTAATTTTAAAATTTATTCGGAAAATTTTTTTTTCAAAATTTTTAAAAATATTTTTATTTTTTTCTGAATTTTTTTTGTAGTAAAATTTTTTCGAAGAAATTCTAAAATTTAAAAACGGAAATTAACATTATTAGTCATAAACTATTATTTTTCGTTTTTTAATTTTAAAATTTATTCGGAAAAATTTTTTTTCAAAATTTTTAAAAATATTTTTATTTTTTTCTGAATTTTTTTTTGTAGTAAAATTTTTTCGAAGAAATTCTAAAATTTAAAGACGGAAATTAACATTATTAGTCATAAACTATTATTTTTCGTTTTTTAATTTTAAAATTTATTCGGAAAAATTTTTTTTCAAAATTTTTAAAAATATTTTTATTTTTTTCTGAATTTTTTAGTAGTAAAATTTTTTCGAAGAAATTCTAAAATTTAAAGACGGAAATTAACATTATTAGTCATAAACTATTATTTTTCGTTTTTTAATTTTAAAATTTATTCGGAAAAATTTTTTTTCAAAATTTTTAAAAATATTTTTATTTTTTTCTGAATTTTTTAGTAGTAAAATTTTTTCGAAGAAATTCTAAAATTTAAAAACGGAAATTAACATTATTAGTCATAAACTATTATTTTTCGTTTTTTAATTTTAAAATTTATTCGGAAAATTTTTTTTTCAAAATTTTTAAAAATATTTTTATTTTTTTCTGAATTTTTTAGTAGTAAAATTTTTTCGAAGAAATTCTAAAATTTAAAAACGGAAATTAACATTATTAGTCATAAACTATTATTTTTCGTTTTTTAATTTTAAAATTTATTCGGAAAATTTTTTTTTCAAAATTTTTAAAAATATTTTTATTTTTTTCTGAATTTTTTTTGTAGTAAAATTTTTTCGAAGAAATTCTAAAATTTAAAAACGGAAATTAACATTATTAGTCATAAACTATTATTTTTCGTTTTTTAATTTTAAAATTTATTCGGAAAATTTTTTTTTCAAAATTTTTAAAAATATTTTTATTTTTTTCTGAATTTTTTAGTAGTAAAATTTTTTCGAAGAAATTCTAAAATTTAAAAACGGAAATTAACATTATTAGTCATAAACTATTATTTTTCGTTTTTTAATTTTAAAATTTATTCGGAAAATTTTTTTTTCAAATTTTTTAAAAATATTTTTATTTTTTTCTGAATTTTTTAGTAGTAAAATTTTTTCGAATAAAATTTAAAATTAAAAAATGGTAATTGTTATGTATCGACTTGCGGTGTGTCCGATACTAACAGAAAGACTAACGACTAACTAACAAGGTTTATCACAATGGTAACAATAAAATAGAAATGACGAGACTATGATGTAGCTTTGACTACGGACTAAGACTGACTGACTCGGTAGCTCTCTGACTACTAAAAGGCTTCGCCTTTTATACTAAACACGCCACCCTAACACCTCCCTTCTTTAATTAAGTCGGGACTATGTTTCCGACTTCCAACTAGACTTGGTGGACTTACAAAACTACTACCCTCCAACACAAACAAAACATTGAAAATACAACGGGCCAAAATACAAAGTGAGCAACAAAAAGGGGAGATACAATAATTACAAAAAAATTTACAACACAATATTATCACAAATTTATTTATTTCCTACTTACATCTCTCATCTACTTCCATCGTCGTCGTCACAGTGCTCCCCTGCAATGGCTCATCTTTTGGCCTCGTCGCGTTCGGTGTTGCCGTCGTTGCTGTTGCTTCCTTCAAATTGGAACTAGACTCCAATTGACTGCGAGGTTGACCATGTGTCGAACCTTGATTACGGCTTTCAGCAGACTTCACTAACTTTGACCTAATTTGTCATTCTTCGCGACTGACTATGGCTCTCAGCCTTGGGACTTTGACTTTATATCCATCTCCGAATTTACTCAAAATAGTCCCAGGCAACCATACTTTCTTGCCATTTTTGCTTCTGTTCATGACTAAGACTTCGTCGTCTCCTTTGAATCGACTAGAATTTCCCGATGACTTCTCCTTCTTTAAGAATCCTGACTTTGTCGAGCCTTGATTAACACGAATACTCATCGGACTATTCGACTTTCTACTTTTTCGATTCTTTTTCCGACTATGCTTTCTGATACTCTCCGTCAACTTCGGGACTTCTATCGTCAGAATATGTGGTACTGAAGAATCAACTTCTACTTGATTTACTTCTGGACTATCGACTCGCTTAAACCTTTTCTTTGGTTTCCTACAATTTCGACTAATGTGTCCGACTATTCCACAATTATAACACTGACGTGATTCAACTTGGCGTTCTTTCTGCCTCGACTTAATTCTTGAACGTTTCGCCTGTCTGCTCCGACTATGTTCGATCCGACTAACGTTATTTACTTCAACATACTCTTTAGGTCCACTCTTGACCTTTGACTGACTATCGAACATTTTCGCCTCTGACTTATTTGCCAGATAACTTCTAACTTCCTCCATCAACGTCTTCAACGTGCAGACTTCCGACTTCGCGTACTTTTCTACAAATCTCAGACTTATCTGCCTTACATCCAGCGCCTTTTCTGGAATGCCAGCTATAAAGACTAGAATTTTGCATTCTTCGACTGTCAAGTCCATTTGCGCTTTTTCGCATTCTCAATTGACTAGAGTCCCGAAATCTAGAATTTTCTCTACTGATGGGCACTTCATTTTTATGACTTCGAATCTTTTGACTAATTTTGATCTTGGGTCACTGAATTCCTTTTTCAGTACCTCGACTAGACTTTCGAAGCTCATTTCCTCTAACCTTTCCGGCATCATCTTTTGCGACATTTTCGCATACTCGACTCGGCTTAACTTTTCGACTAATAATCGGACTCTGAGTTTTTCTTCTAAGGACTTTCCTTCTACTTCAAAGTAGGACTTGTTCTTAGCGTACCATGACTCAAATGTGACTCCCTTTTCAACATCTGACTGGAACTCCGTGATCAACGACTTCAACTTACAATAGAGTTCCGTCGACTCTTTCTCTTCAGACTTGGTCACGACTGACATTCTCCCTTTCATCATTTCAAGTCATTAGTCTTGAATCTGTTGCGACTGAGCTTGCATCTGCATTTGCGTCTGCAGGTATTTCTCATGTATCTCATCCATCTCGACTGAATTATTTGACGGTAATTTTGAACGTGACAGACCCCCTTTTTTCTTCCCTATTTTTCACCCTGTATTTTTTAAAAATGGTCAGACTTTTTCCTTTTTTCCATCCAATTTGCCTTTCTAATTTTTGCCTGCAAAAAGGATTATTTTTTATATTTTATTTCCCGTTTTTCCTCCCCCATTTTTTCCTTATTTTTTTCTACAATTTTTGGTTGTACACCGCCAACATCATATCTTTCATCTTTATTAACGCTGAGTGTCGTTCGACCTCCACATTTATGGCAGGTTCCTTTTCCATGGAGAAGTCCAAGCTCACCGAGCCATGCATCGAAATCATTATCGCTCAAACGTAATTTTTCATGTAAATCAAAAGGCTTGAAATTCCTAAGTTGTTCCATTTTTTAATTGAGAAAATGAATTTTCGCAAAACTCATACTTGTTAAATACCAAAAAATAATCCTCCTTTTTATAATCCTTATTGTTTGATTGCAGGCAAAAATTAGAAAGGCAAATTGGATGGAAGAAAGGAAAAAGTCTGACCATTTTTAAAAAATATAGGGTGAAAAATAGGGAGGAAAAAAGGGGGTCTGTCACGTTCAAAATTACCTATTTGACTAATCAAACTGACATTAGACTATGGGTCTGCCTGTTCGATTTTTTTTTGACTACTCAATTAAGAGTTTAGCTGTGCGACCGCGCCACTGTTATGTATTGCGGTGTGTCCGATACTAACAGAAAGACTAACGACTAACTAACAAGGTTTATCACAATGGTAACAATACAATAGAAATGACGAGACTATGCGCTGGAGTAGAATGTAGCTTTGACTACGGACTAAGACTGACTGACTCGGTAGCTCTCTGACTACTAAAAGGCTTCGCCTTTTATACTAAACACGCCACCCTAACAGTAATAATCATTATTATTGCTAAATAGTTATTTTTCGTTTTTTAATTTTAAAATTTATTAGGAAAAATTTTTGCTCTAAATTTTTTTTAATATTTTTAATTTTTTTTTTAAATATTTTTGGAAAAAAAATTTTCGAATAAAATTTAAAATTAAAAAATGGTAATAATCATTATTATTGCTAAATAGTTATTTTTCGTTTTTTAATTTTAAAATTTATCTGAAATTTATCTTTTAATTTTAAAATTTATCTGAATTTTTTTGTAGTAAAATTTTTTCGAAGAAATTCTAAAATTTAAAAACGGAAATTAACATTATTAGTCATAAACTATTATTTTTCGTTTTTTAATTTTAAAATTTATTCGGAAAAATTTTTTTTCAAAATTTTTAAAAATATTTTTATTTTTTAGAAATCACTGACTCGTAAATTTTTTAGGAATTGACTTTGCGACCTATATATAATGGACAAATCAATTTGGAAGCAAATCAGCTGTCAGTTGATGATATTGCAAGAAATTATATTTATAAAAATATAGACATAAACGGTGTAAGAACTAGAATACTTATTGAATTAAGAAAGAATTACAAATTAACAAGTTTAATATGTTTTTTGAATCATGAAGGGCCTAGAAAAATTTTAAAAAGAGAAAATTATAACAAGGTTAATATATTTAAACCATTTTCTTTAAATGCCAAAAAACCTGAAATGATAATGGAATATTCTCACATTGAAATTTGTCTAAAATTTAAAAATCCTGGCAATTATTTTGTTATTGTCGTAGGAAATTATGATGAGGGATGTCTTGAATTTTTTGTTAAAATTAAAAAAAGAAAATGAGGAAAAAAAGAAAATCTGTTGAAAATCCTTATTTTCTTTTGAAAATCCTTTATTTTGAAATCTAAATCTTTTTCTTTTCAAAATTTCCAATAAATTTAAGTCAAATTCTGAAACTCCTCTCGTTCAGGAGCATTGAAAAAGAGAATATTCCCATTTTTGAAAATTTTACACAATAATTTTATATTTACCAAATTTTAGTTAATTTATCATTCATACATAGATCCGTATCTCGCTTCATTTATGTGATAACCGCCTAATTTTTACGTCATTCAAATTATATTGAAAAGCGATTCGAATGATATAAAAATCTCCTATATCAAAATAATATCAGTGAATCTAGACCAATTTTTATCAGAAAAATTTTGCTAAAACTTTGACAGCAAAATTAATCAGTCTATATTATAAATTTCAAAAGCATTTTGATATCAACAAGATTGCTAGTGTTATGAATAAAATAAAAAAAGAATTATCAATTTCCATCAATTTTGAAAAAAGTTATGGCAAAAAGAAAAAGTGCTCTAAATTTGCCGTACCCTATATTTTTTTGAATATTTGTCCCAAAAATTTATTAACAAACAAATCGTTTTTTTAAATTTTTAAATCCTTTTTCTATCAATTTAAAAGCCAAATCACCTCAAATGGACAGTCTATGCCTGTGTCACAAGCTTAATTAGGATTTATCAGAACATCGGGTGTGTGTACAGCTACTATAATTCTTGAAGACTAATTCAATCATCATGTTATTCTACATTATTTGAAGGACTGAAATTTTAGATAAAACTAAAAAAATTTCGACTTTTAGTTTTCTTATATCAAAGACTGATTTTGAATTTAATTTAAAAAATTAAAAAGAAAATTTTACCAAAAGAATAATTTTGAGATAATGATATTTTTGTTTTCCAAAATAAAAATTAAGATTTTTATCCAAATCTGAATAAAAAAATAAAATTGAAAAAATAAAAATATTTTTAATACAATTTAAATTGAAAATACTTATTAATTAATTTTATTATATATACTGTTTTCAATATAGCTTATATTTATTTTTTCTATTAAGAAAAATCCCTTTTTCATTAATATTTAACTTTTCTCGACCTAATTCCTTTTCCAGCTGTACTTAACAATTAGAAGTGAGAGAAAAATGAAAAATAAAATTGCATGTTGATTTGAATCGTTCACAATTTCAAGGTCGAGTTAAAGGAAAAATAATAAACAATCAAATATACATATTTTATATTTATAAATGATTTTATTATTATTTTTTACCATAATAAAATTTTTTTATTATATTTATTACTTGCTTATTTTTGAGCTAAATGTCTTTTAAAATATATGACATTGATAAAGAATAGAAGTAAATTTTTTTCCTTTTTTCACGTTTCTAGTGAAGTTTTGATTTTACAATTGTCTTTTGCGCTCGACCATAATCAAAAAATGTTTTTTCTTTTAAAAAACTATGAATAGTTATAAGATTTTTTTAAATTATTTAATACATATTTAAATTGTTTTAATTCAAATAACTATCATAAAATATTACAATAAAAAATCAAAATAAAACATATCTCTAAATATAAAATTTTAAAATAAATACAGTTAAAAATGCTTTAAATACAAAAAATCTGGCTATTTATTTTCCAAATTTTTCAAAATTTTCACCTGCTGCGCTGAATAAAAAGAACGATAACCCTTCAAAACTGTCAATAAATTAAGGGTAAATTTTTTTAATAATTAACTAGTTGAAAAATTTTTTAAATTTCAGTAGTCTCCGCCTTAAAATTCTTAATATAAAATGAATTTAAATTATCTATTAAAACTTCATTTTTAAAATTAAAATTAAATTTTTATAAAATAAAATTGAATTTTTAATATGACAAATTTCCCAAATTCTACCGTATATATTTAAAATAAAATTGACTAAATTTTTAAAAATTAATTAAAAAATTACTATTAAATAGCGATTATTTTGCATCATAAAATATCCGAATAAATTTTTGAGGATAAAAATAATTTTTAGAGAAATTTCAGAAAATGTTTTATAATTTTTGTGAAAGTTATTTTTACACAATATATTTCTCAAAAAATGTTGAAATTGCGCAAACTCCAAAAACAAGAAAACAATCAAATTACAAACATCAAACTTAAAAAAGAAAAATCAGAACAATTAAACAGCCAATGGTTATTTAAAATTCTGATTTAAATCAGAATAAAAACTAAACAAATGTTCGTTACAAATTCTGATTTTAAGAATTACGATCAACTTACAATAAAAATTAAAACATGTTCGTTATAAATTCTGATTTCTAATCAGAATAAAATTAAAAAAACAAAGCTTGTTTGCTTAAAAATTCTGATTTGTAAAATCAGAATAAAAATTGAACAAACAAATGTTCATTTAAAATTCTGATTTTTAAATTAATTAAATTAAACCTGAAAATACTCATCAGGAACAAACCAAGTATTAGAGAAAAAGCAACAACACAAACGGAAAGCTAAAACATGGAAAAAACGTTGTCTGTAAAAATTCATACCATTGAAAATAAATTTAAAAAATTATTAAAAAAATAAATTAAATATTCAAAAATTAATTTCAATTTAATTTCAAAAAAACATAAAAATTAAATTTTTCTTCTTAAATTTTTATTCAATATCAAAAAAATACATGGTATTCAAAATAAAATAAATTTTATTTTTTAAAGTAAATAATTAATATAATTTTTTTAAAACCATGAAAAATAAT